GCAGTTATTTAATCAATTGGTCTAAAATTTCTCACTTTAACTAACTAGAAAAAATTTACACTTTCTATACATTATGAAAATGTAAATACATATATTATTTTACCTTGGTTTAAAAGGCTCTCTGAAAAATAATAAATAGGAACCTATTAACAATGTTATCACTATATTCAAATATGTGCTTAATCTCAACTATACTAAATATACACTACAATTAAATACAAGTGTATTATTTCAAATGATAACTTACCTAAATTTTATCAGCATACGAAAGGAAGGAATCAGATTTATCAGCAGTGAATGGAGGTTGAGAATTTGGGGAGGCCAAGAAAACTCCCTGACGGGAAAGGCGTCCGCAGACCGGCCGTCGCGCTGATGTCCTCACCGGGAAGGGAGGGTGATGGCACGTCGCGACACGGGAGCGGCCGCCGTTTCGGAGCCCCGACTGCGTGCCGGGACCGCCTGTCCCCGGCTCACGCTGCTCGGGGCCCCGAGGGGGAGGCGGAGCTGGTCCGAGACCTCACTATCTTTTCTCAGAGACAGGGTCTCGCTCTGTTGCCCAGGCTGGAGTGCAGGGGCCCGGTCACAGCTCGCTGCAGCCTCAACCTGGGCTCCAGTAAGCCTCCCGCCTCTGCCTCCCGAGTAGCCGGGACTACAGGTGTGAGCCACCACATCCAACCAATTGTGTGTGTGTGTGGAGACACGGGTCTCACTATGTCGTCCGGGCTGGCCTGGAACGCCTGGGCTCCAGTGATCCTCCTGCTTCAGCCTCCCCAAGTGCTGGGATGACAGGCAAGAGGTACTGAAGGTGGCCAATTCCTTTGTTTTTTTTAGAGTCGGAGTCTCACTCCGTCACCCCGTCTGGAGTGGAGTGGCACGCTCATGGACACCCAGTGTCGACCTGCTAGGCTCCAGCCATCCTTCTGCCTCAGCCTTCCAAGGAGCCAGGACTACAGATGTGCACTACCACGTCCGGCTAATTTTTGATTTATTGCAGAGCGGAGTCTCGCCAGGTTACCTGGGCCAGTCTCGAACCCCTGGGCTCAGGCAATCCACTCGCCTGGGCCTCCCCAAGTGCTGGGATGACAGGTGTGAGGCACCGCACGCGACCCGTTCCTGTTTTTAAATTCAGGAAAGCACGCTCAGCTCGCTCTGGCGGCTCACACAGCCCCATCGGGGTGCTGAGGGTCTCCTCCAGCTCTGGAGAGGGAGGACTCAGCAGAGCCACCAGCCCTTGCTCCGTGCACGGGGAAGCCTCTTAGACGGCCATTGCCACTGCCACGGCCCCTTCTGAGGTCGGGAGCCATTTTATCCTTTTATTTTTCTGCCAAGGAAGCCCCCGGAGGAAACGCCTGCCGCCTGAGGGGGTCTGGAGCCTCGTGGGAGGACGTCTCCAAGCTGCTGGGGTTCCCTGGCTCTTGTGAAGCCCAGCCTCAGCCCCGGACAGGCACGCGCGGCCCTGAGACACGATGGCAGCCGGGCGGCGGCCTCGGGTGACGAGACCGTCCCTGAACGCCCTGTGCACCCAGGCCTCCACGTGCGGCCTTCCCACGAGCCGCCGGCTGCCGCGAGCCTGCTCGGCACGCCGCC